CAAATAAAAAGAGTAAAAAAGAATTTTAAAGTAACAAAACAGCTCAAGACATAACTATAAAAATCTGGATCCAGAACTCTGTAATATATATATTTCTATCATCATCTTTAAAATTGTCCTCAGAAGTAAGAGTTCTTTTGGAGAGCAAATTTTACATAGAGAAATATGGAGTAATTACTGAAATAAACTATCAAATATTTTGAACATTATATTGAATAGCTTTTGTATTTTTTATAAGTAGCACCCCACAGGTAATGGCAACATATAATTTTCATCCTTCCCTAGATAGTGATGGGCAGAACTGCTCTCCCTTTGCTGGGAGACTGTGTGTCATTTACTGTAATTTCGCATCATTTTTTAGGAAAGTGACATGAGAAAGAAGGATAAATATCAAGATTTTTTTTTCACTGAAGTATTTTCAGGTGAATGACCCCTAAGTTTTCTATAGCAAGTAGGTGTGGATTAATCTTTTGATGAAATTGACCCTATTCTAATTTGTGTCATAGAACTGAAATATGTTAATACTATTTTCTTAAATCTGGACTTAGTAATTCACAAGAAACTTTTGGTATATTCTATGTTAGTATTTCTCAAAATATAGTCCAGGGGCCATCTGGATTGCAATTACTTTTGATATTTTTTAATATCATGATAGACTTATGGACTCAGAATCTTATAGATTAACAAGGAGAGGGGAGGGATCTGTATTTTAGTAAGTTTTCTATGTTATGAATATTCAAGTTTGGGAGCCACGATTCTATATCATGACACCTAACAAATGGCACAATGCAGTACCATGGCAGCTGGTTGCCTTGCAAGATAAAATAGCCTCTCCTGGAACTTTCTATACAGGCCCCTTTGGGCAATATTATCTTTTTTAAAAAATGTTGTTAAGAATTTGGAGACAAACACTGATATTCTTAAAATTTCAAATAGATGTGAGAATTTTTTTTTCCCAAAATATTAACTATGAGACAGAGTAAAACCAAGTCTGAATTCATGGAGGTGTCAACTCTGGAAAACATATTCATAATAACAAAAAGTAACCAATGATGGGAAAAAAACATAAAAAGAAGATATGTCAAAGGGCATAGTAGAATGAGGTCATTAAACAACTTTGTGATTCCACTTAGTAGCTTCTGTAAGCTTAAATGTGCATAGAATAAATTATGTTCATAATTATGATCCAGAATACCCAGAGAAGGATAAGGCAATTTTTGTACACTATGTTCAAGGCAGTTTGTGATATGTTTTAGAAAGTTTCCTTACCAAGAAAGTTAAAGTAGAAGGAATACATGAAATGTAAGTTCTTAGTTAACTGATAAAATTAAGTGGAATAATTTTCAATCTTAGGATTTCAGATACATATTTTTACAATCCATACTTCTTGGTTTTAGTCATCCCTTATAGTATTATTTGTTGAAGATGTTAGAAATAGTCACTATTTGCACATTATGTTGTCATCATACTCTATAAAATCAAACTTTTGGTAATATGACTATTTTTTATGTAGTGAATTTATAATTAGATGAGGAAATTGTCAAATAATTCCTATTAGATGACACTTTTCTATTTTTATTAAATACCTTATAATTATGTTAAGTATAATTTTTAAAATAGTAGATCAAAAATATAAAATATTTATATTTATTACTTTTTTGATAACACACAGGCTGGAATCTGTAAATATTCAGGTCCTCACTCAGACAGCATAAAAATGACTTATGAGTCATCATTTAAAGCAAATAAATCCTTTTATAAAAATAATTTTAGGGCTCCTGGGTGGCTCAGTCATTAAGCATCTGCCTTCGGCTCAGGTCATGATCCCAGGGTCCTGGGATCGAGTCCCACATCGGGCTCCCAGCTCAGCGGGAAGCCTGCTTCTCCCTCTCCCACTCCCCCTGCTTGTGTTCCTGCTCTCATTGTCTCTCTCTGTCAAATAAATAAATAAAATCTTTAAAAAAATTAAAAAAATAATAACTTTAGCCATTCTTTGAAAAATATCAAGTTTTCAACACATGATCATAAAAATCTAGTGAATATTTGATGTATTTTTTAAAAATATGATCACTGTGGAAATCTGATAATTCAAAAATTCTTTTTTAAAATATATCACTTTATTATAAAATAAATCACTTAATTTATTTAAAATATTAATAAAATTATTTTATGTGTGAATATGTTGATCTGATAAACTAGGAAACAGTTTCAGAGACATTCTTTAGGGTGCATGACAAGCATACTACCAATTTTATGGTCAAATGAAAGCAATTTCTACCACATCAATTCCAAACTTGCTCTTTTTCTTACTGGAATCATTGGAACAAGCACTGGACTTCGAGCCAGGAGACACGACTTCTAATTGTGGCTTATATTTGGTTAATTATGATTATAAAGAAAACTCATGTGGTTAACTAAGAAAAATTGAATATAGTTGTTCATATTGAGATCCTCTGAACATCTGGAAAACAAGCACTTTTTACTTAAATATAACTATTCGTGTTTATAGGAACAAAGAACTTGAAATGGATTGGTTAAAATAAAGGCACACACTTTTAAAGATGACTATACCACATATTGGCAGTTAGAACATTCAACTACTACATTGACAATAATAAAGATTCTTGTTTTCCTTCTTTTCATAAACCATTATATCTAGGACCATAGTAGTGTTTCATCTAAAAAGCATTCTGGAAGCACACTGAATGCTTCCATAGACTTTAATTATAATTTGTAAAAAGAAACATTTTGACAGTTCTTGTTTAACAACTTCCAGAATATTTGACTCTCCTTAAACTTCATTGTAAAAATACCATGGAATTATCTTGGGAATGCTATTTTACAAGCAATTACTTTTTTACTGAATAACTTTGTAACTCTAGCTAAATGTAACTAGAATATAATAATGTATTGGGAGTATTTTCCAACTTTGCTAAATGACTCCTTTATGGAAAATCTGACAGCTTCTTTGCCCTAATTTTTAGTCTGACATCAGGTCTTCAGAATTTGAAGGAAGGATGACCAATGATTAAATGATGGTTTGGTAGGGCATGATAACCTAACTGTATTAGACAGTAGACCTCTCTTTTCATAATTTATAGTGTAAGCATGGAGATTTATTTAACCTTAATTAGTGTTTTCTATTTAAATATCTCTAAGTAGTTATAGTTTACCTATGTCCATAGTACTAACATAAGTTTTTGTCTAAGAATAACCTTTAATTTTGACCTTTTGTTATCTTTCAGTTTCTTTATTTCTAATGAGTCTGACTTACTACTATATTCTCATGCACATTGTAACTTAGATGAACTTTTATTGAAACATGTTCTTGTTTAATTTTCCTACTGTTTTGTAAAGGAATATTCTTCAGTTTTTCCCACCCACCCTTCATTTTTTAATATTACACAATCATATATTTTTTAACTTAATAACTAAGAGGCTGTGTAATAATTTAAATTTTATTCAGCAAGATTATAAGGGAGATAGAAGAGGATTTGCAAATTAGCTTGATGTTATCCTTGTTCAATCTTTTATCTACTTTGTATTATATATTTGTTTTTGTTAAATATAGTTAATTTTGTCTTTTGTCAGGATTGCTGATCTTTTTAGTCCAACCCTACTGAATAGCTAGGGGTAAAGATTTTACAGATCTCAATTGAGTAATACTATGGTTAGATCCCTGAACTGTTACAAATTACAGTAGCAGAAATGAATTAATTAACACTAAAGGATAGAGTTGTAGAAAAATAACGTAAGAGAGAACACCACCTGTGTTATTGTATTTAAGAATAATTTCTAAGGCATCTATCATTCATTGACACACAGCAAGGAAATCTGTTTGAAATCAACTTCTTTCAGTTGTTTCTTCAGAATTTTCATGGGTGGTATTTATCATTCTCAAGGCTCTGACCTATCAAATAGTAATGATAAATGAAAAAAATCTCAATCAGGAGTATATCTGTCAAAGATCCTCAATTTTGAGAGTATCAATTTTCATAGAGAAGTAATATTTTCCTGTAGAATTCCCCATGCTTACTGTACTTTTGAGATACTTACACTTGGATGGAAATCTTTTGTCTTAAGTTGAACAACCTATATTTATCCTCAGACCTCATTGAAAGCAATATTCAGGAATGCAGGGCATTACTAACAGAAGTAACAAAAATAGGTATGAAATTGTGACTACTTCGATTAACTAGAATTTTTTTAAAGTCTTTGATGAATTGGGCACCTGGGTGCCTCAGTTGGTTGAGCAACTGCCTTCGGCTCAGGTCATGATCCTGGAGTCCCAGGATCGAGTCCTGCATCAGGCTCCCTGCTCAGCAGGGAGTCTGCTTCTCCCTCTGACCTTCCCCCCCCTTATGTACTCTCTCTCTCTCATTCTCTCTCTCAAATAAATAAATAAAATTAAAAAAAAATAAAGTCTTCAATAAAGAATAATGAGTTATTTTATTATCAAAAATTATCCTGATCCCATATTTAATGCATTAATAACATGAATAGATGATGAAGCTTCCTAGAGAAAGGAAGAAAAAATCTTAAAAAGAATTTTTAAAAATGTAAATGAATCTTATAATGTATTTGTCGTTTTTAGAAAATAAATGATTTAGGTAATTTCAGGATAAAACTATTATTTTGTGTCATTTTTTCTCATTTAAATCACATGGTTATATAGAAGCTTATCTCAATATAAGAAATTCTTCTTCTGTTATTTAAATACCTTTTTATCTTTACAACGCAAGGACTATTTCATGATATCCTATTTTGTTAAGTAATGTTAATTCCCCAAAAGTGCATTTATGCCACAAGTGAATTTAAAATTCCAAGAGGATTCACTGCCTGACGATCCTGGTTTTATATTTTCATCCTGTTTTGCTTATTAAACTCCAATTATGTTGGTGATTGCTCAGGATTTGGAGAAGCAGTTAGTCTCCCAACTAGTGAAAGCAAGACCTAGTAGATCTGCACTTTTTTTTTGCCCTTAACTATTTAATTCTCAGATATTGACCAGTGGAACAAAGTAATTGAGCAACTAGGAACACCATGTCCGGAATTCATGAAGAAATTGCAACCTACAGTAAGAAACTATGTGGAGAATCGGCCCAAGTATGCAGGACTCACCTTCCCCAAGCTCTTTCCAGATTCCCTCTTCCCAGCGGACTCTGAGCACAATAAACTCAAAGGTATGCCTGTCAGGGACAATTTCAGAACCACTGTGCAGGTGATGGACTAAACAATGATAGAGTTAACTGATAGAGACACCTCTCTTTAACTCAAACTATCAATTTAAGTAGATTTTAAAGATATTATTATTATTATTATTTTACTAAGAGCATGTGGTCAAGGATTTTAGAATTGTGTGGACATTCAGAGGGAAAGATAGTAATAAGGGATGTGACAGTGGTATGGGTTAACTGTGTCATGAGGCTTATTTGGAATCTCAAAATTCTTTTGCAGTGTAACTCTAAAAGACCAATGTGATACACATTGAAGTCATTGTTCCAATTCTTTTTACTACCTGGAGAATATTTTCAACACAGTTTTTTTGTTGTAAAATCTTGGAGATGCAGGAGTTTGAGTTTTCTTTTATTTGTATTTTATGGAATGTTCAACCACCATTTTTTCATTTTAGAGTGACTGATGAGATTTACTTACACATATTATATTCAATAGAAATACTTTTATTAGTAAGTAATTCTTTCTACTACTATGTTTATAGTTAAGAACTTCAGTAACAAATCTTAGTTTCTTCACCCACAAAACTTGGATAATAATGCCTTAGTCATAGGATTAGAGACAAGGGATAAATTTGGCAATGTTTAAATATATACTATAAATAATATTCTATTTCTTATTTTAATTTAGACTTTAGAGAACGTTTAGAGAACCTGATTTTGAAACAAATTTGATTTTTTTCCTTGACTGGGCTCAAATGCTGTCCCTCAAAATCTGTGTGAACCTGGACAAGTTATCTAATCTATCTATACCTCTTTTAACAAATGAAAGTAGGAAGTGTCTACCTTAGGATCATTGGGAGGATTAACTGGGTAAATATTTTGTCAAGCACTTAGAACAATGCCTGGCTCACAGTAAATACTCAGTTGCTGTTAGACATTTTTAAAAAATGTAATAATTATTATTTAAAATGTAACTATTTATCAAAAAAGTAAAAGGACATATGCTTTTGAAATATTACCCCAAATGTTCAGTGGGTAATTAACTACAGACTTAAATTACAGACATAACTTATAGCTAATACAGACTTAAATGAGACAGAGAGTTCTATCTCCCAGGGTCTTATCATTCCCAGACTTCCATCTCATGGGTTTTAAGTGTGCAGCATTGTTACTGTGTTCACGACAGTTTTATTGCACAGTTGGGTTTCTTCCTTCAGTTGACTCCATAGTCAATGGCAACAGACTAAATGATTACCAAATCTGCTGCTTTTAAGATCAACACTGCCTAGGGTGGGAGGAGCAAGATGGCGAAAGAGTAGGAGACCTAAATTTCGTCTGGTCCCAGGAATTCAGCTAGATAGGGATCAAACCGTTCTGAACACCTAGGAACTCAACAGGAGATTGAAGAAAAGAATAGCAGCAACTCTCTGAACAGAAAAGCGACCACTTTCTGGAAGGTAGGACGTGTGGAGAAGTGAATCTGAGGCGATATTCGGGAGGGTAGACGGCAGGGGAGGCGGCCTCCGTCAGCTGATACTGGCAAGTGATAGAGAAGTGGAGCATAAAATCGGAACTTTTAGAAGTGGGCTCCGCTGAGGGACGTCGCTCCAGTGGCTAAGGGGGCGGGGGGTGGAACCCTTGCAGGGACAGTGTGTTCTCAGGACCCTCGGGGCCACAGAAAGACCGGGGGAGCCTGAGTGCAGCGGAGCTCCCAGGTATCGGAGCGGGGAAGCCAGCTGCAGAGACGGAGCCGAGGTGCGGGCTCTCAGCTCGGGGTTGCCATAAACTGTGATCTGCAGCACAGTCGGGCCACTGCTCCTCCAGCAGGGACCCAACAAGCGGCAGATCCGGGGAGACTCCCCTTCCTCCCCCGGGAGGAGCGGCACGGGAGCGCACTGCAGGGATCTGCTGGGTTTGGAGACTCCACACGGGGTCGTGAGCCAGAGATAGAAATGCTGGGTCACAGGCCGGGTGAGCAAGGAGTGTGGCTGGAGACTGGGGAGACGGGAGTGACTGACTGCTTTTCTCTGGGGGCGCACTAGGAGCGGGGCCCAGAGTTCTCAGCTCCTCCGGTGCGGAGTTTGGTAGGCTGCCATTTTCACTCTCATCCTCTAAAGCCGAACGGAAAGCTTGCAGGGAACAAAATCTCCCCAGAGCAAACCGGGGCAGATTCCTTAGCCCATATCCGGCAAGGGCGGGGCAATTCTGCCTCTGGCAAGACATTTGGGAACCACAGCAACAGGCCCCTCCCCCATAAGATCAGCAGAACAGGCAGCCAAGACCAAGTTTACCAATCAATGAGAATGGCAAAACTCCAGCACTAGGGGAATACTGCACATAGAATTCATGGCTTTTTCCATGATTCTTTAATCTTTCTAAGTTAATTTTTTAATTTCCCTTTTTTTAATTTTTCTTTTTCTCTTTTTCAACCAACATCTTATCAATCCCTTTTTTAAAAAATCTTTTTTATTTTTCATTTTTAGAGTCATATTATATCCCTTCATAGTAGTTAACCTTATTTTTGGTATATACATATATATATATATATATATATATATATATATAAATTTTTCTCTCTTTAAAATTTTGGGATACAGTTTCTTCTAAAAGACCAAAATATACCCTAAATCTCTAGTGTATGGCTTTGTTCTAGTCTCCTGCCTGATCACATTCTCTCCTTTTTTTTTTTTAAATCCTCTTCTTTCTTTTTTTCAACCAACTTCTTTTTTTTTTAAAGATTTTATTTATTTATTCATGAGAGACAGAGAGAGAGTGAGAGGCAGAGGGAGAAGCAGTCTCCCAAGGAGCAGGGAGCCTGACACGGGACTCAATCCCAGGACTCTGGGATCATGACCTGAGCCGAAGGCAGACGCTTAACCACCCAGGCGCCCTTCAACCAACTTCTTATCTTACTAATTTCTTTTCTAATTTTCATCTTTACAGTCATATTCCATCCCTTCATCGGTTTACCCTTATTTTTGTACATCTATAGGCTTTTCTTTCTTTAAAATTTTGGGAGGCACTTTCTTCTAACATACCAAAATACAACCAAAATCTAGTGTGTGGCACTGATCTATGCACCAGCCTGATCATATTTGATCATATTCTGTTTTGTTTGTTTGTTTGGTGTTTTTTTTATCTTTTTCTTTTCCTTTTTTTTTTTTCTTTTCCCCTGGTTTCCAGTCTCTTCTCATTTGTTTAGTGTATATTTTTGGGGGTCATTGTTACCCTGTTAGCATTTTGTTGTCTCATTCATCTATTCTCCTCTGGACAAAATGACAAGACAGAAAAAAAATCACCTCAAAAAAAAAGAACAAGAGGCAATACCGACTGCCAGGGACCTAATCAATATGGACATTAGTAAGATGTTGGAACTAGAGTTCAGAATGACGATTTTAAAGATACTAGCTGGGCTTGAAAAAAGCATGGAAGGTATTAGAGAAACCCTTTCTGGAGATTTAGAACTAAAATCTAACCAAGTCGAAATCAAAAAGGCTATTAGTGAGGTGCTATCAAAAATGGAGGCTCTAACCACTAGGATAAATGAGGCAGAAGAGAGAAATAGTGATATAGAAGACCAAACGATGGAAAATAAAGAAGCTGAGAAAAAGAGAGACAGCCCTCCAAGAAATATTGAAAGGGGTTCTTCTAAGCAAAGAGAGAGCCTAAAAGCAACATAGACCAGAAAGGAACACAGACAATATACAGTAACAGTCACCTTACAGGCAATACAATGGCACTAAATTCATATCACTCAATACCCTGAATGTAGATAGGCTAAATGTACCAATCAAAAGACACAGGGTATCAGATTGGATAAAAAAACAAGACCCATCGATATGCTGTCTGCAAGAGACACATTTTAGGCCCAAAGACACCCCCAGATTGAAAGTGAGGGGGTGGAAAACCATTTACCATGCTAATGGACACCAAAGAAAGCTGGGGTGGCAATCTTTATATCAGACAAATTAGATTTTAAACCAAAGACTATAATAAGAGATGAGGAAGGACACTATATCCTACTTAAAGGGTCTATCCAACAAGAAGATCTAACAATTGTAAATATCTATGCCCCAACATGGGAGCAGCCAATTAAAGCCAATTAATAACAAAAACAAAGAAACACATTGACAACAATACAATAATAGTAGGGGACTTTAACATCCCCCTCACTGAACTGGACAGATCATCTAAGCAAAAGATCAAAAAGGTAATAAAGACTTTAAATGACACACTGGACCAAATGGACTTCACAGACATATTCAGAACATTCCATCCCAAAGCAACAGAATACACATTCTTCTCTAGTGCCCCATGGAACATTCTCCAGAATAGATCACATCCTAGGTCACAAATCAGGTCTCAACCGGTACCAAAAGATTGGGATCATTCCCTGCATATTTTCAGACCACAGTGCTTTGAAACTGGAACTCAATCACAAGAGGAAAGTCGGGAAGAACTCAAATACATGGAGGCTAAAGAGCATCCTACTAAAGAAGGAATGGGTCAACCAGGAAATTAAAGAAGAATTTAAAAAATTCATGGAAACCAATGAAAATGAAAAATGAAAACACAATGGTTCAAAATCTTTGGGATGCAGCAGAGGCAGTCCTAAGAGGAAAGCATAAGGCAATACAAGCCTTTCTGAAGAAACAAGAAACGTCTCAAATACACAACCTAACTGTACACCTAAAGGAGCTAGAGAAAAAACAGCAAATAAAGCCTAAACCCAGCAGGAGAAGAGAAATAATAAAGATCAGAGCAGAAATCAATGAACTAGAAACCAAAAGAACAGTAGAACAGATCAATGAAACGAGGAGCCGGTTCTTTGAAAGAATTAGACTGATAAACCCCTGGCCAGACTTATCATAAAGAAAAGAGAAAGGACCCAAATAAATAAAATCATGAATGAAAGGGGAGAGATCACAACCAACACCAAAGAAATACAAGCAATTATAAGAACATATTATGAGCAACTGTATGCCAGCAAATTAGATAATCTGGAA